CAAGCAATTTCTTATCTCTAAAGGCATCAATACAGCTGTTACAAACACTGCTAACCATTGCTGGACATCTTGGTCGCTGAAACATTCCAGCCAGAGACAAGCTGTAATCCAACTGAATGTCACATGTTCAAGTAAACAGCATAAAATCCATCATCAATAATTTGTGTAAAAGCATATTCTGTTACTACAAAGGACCAACATGTTCTTGGTAACATCTGACACCTTGGCAAGGAGAAAAATTATACTGTATTGAGCAGTTGCCTATTTAAAAAAACATGTTAATACAAACTCTTCTTACTAAGTATTCTAATGGATGACAGTGATATTAAACAATAGGATATTTTTGAAATGCCCAGCAGCTGAATACAGCTTGCAAAACTCCTAATGCCATAATGAAATGCACACACAATCCGTTTATTTTTCCATTCCCTGAACTAGTTATAAGAATTAGTAATCTCTGCTCTTCACTTAATCCAAAAGTGATCCGCTAAACTGGGCTTAACTTGAACCACAATTTGCTCCATCAAGCCAAAGGTTGTTTCAGGAAACAGAATTAGCAACAGGTACAGTTTATGTAGGTAAACAATGGAACCAGACCTTGAAATACCATTAAAATCTTTCAAATAACTGGCTCCACTAAAGGCAGAGGAAACTGCAGGAAACCCATGTTCACTAAGGCTGGTTCCCCAAACCTCAGTTTAGCAATACTTCCAAATCCTTCTCCCCTTTCTCTCATTCAACTTTTACACTGCTACCCAGTGTAGCTCTTGTGCCAAGAACTTTACTAGTGCTCCTTGTTACCAGAAGCACAGGGGAAAAATGCTGGAACTGAACCAACTCAATCACATGTCTTCTTTTTTTTTTAAGATCCAGGTTAGGAAGACACAAATGCTTATGTTTGGAAACTAAAGAAATATAAGACTCATATAAGGTGTTTCAATTTGCTAGGAAGCTTTTCAATGTGAAACCCTTGGGGGAGTGAAGGGGGGAGACCAACAGAATTTCTTATTAAGGATCTGGTAGATTCACTGAATGACAGCTCAATCCTACAAGTTACATCTGCCTTGCTGTTGTTATGCAATCAAGAGGCCAAATATCACCCAGAAATAGCCCAGGCCAGATTGCACACAAGGGCACCCTTAAGTCTTCTTTTGTTTTTCCCTCGCACAGAGAACAACCCTCTGCAGCCAGTTTGCTACTATCAGAGCACTGCAGCCGACTCGACCCCCAACAGAAAAACCTCAGCACGGATTGCTAAAGATAGCCAAGGCAGGTATTACAAGCGATGAAGTCACTAAGCAAAGATTTGCAGGTAGTAGCTGGAGGTTCTTTGCTGCAAAGTAAAATGCTGGAATTTGCCTCTGCCCCCCCCCCCCTTCCAACCCCCCCCCCACCCCCAACCAGGAGTGAATACTATACTGTTCCCCAAAACCTAAATGCCATTTAAATGTCAGTCATCTGTCATACATGGAAAAGCTGCAATTGGTTAAAAAAAAATTTTCAGGTAAGCCCGCTGGGGCACAGAATACATGCTTTGGTGGGCATCTGATGTGCAGAGCCATCTATCAGCAGCTGATGATGCCATGCTTGCAAGCTAAACCATATTCTGCGGCAACACACAGCCTTTAAAGAGAAAGGGGGGAGGGAGGTGGTAGATGCAAAACAAGACGGAAATGCCATCGCTCCATTCAGCTCCTTGCATCCAGGGACAGGAAAATCAAACCTTAGCTCCCACCAAAAAAGCAAACTAGAGGTTTCACTGCCTCTCCTCTCCACCCAGACAACCCTCCCCACAAAAAAATATATACAAAGGCCTCTTTTCCAATCAATTGACTAAGGAGGGGAGGGTGAAAAATAGATTGAAATTCTAGATGCACCCAACCTGTGAGGATGCTAAGCCCCTGTGTGTGTCTCTCTTTCTGGCGACTTGATCGGAAATAAGCATCATTGCAGAGGTGATGTTATTTTTACCTGCTCTCCCCCTCGGTCCATCAGGCACAACTCCCAAGGTAGCTGGAACCCAGGCTAAGTTTAAAGCAAGAAAGATCCAAATGCAAGAGGTGTGGTAGTAGCCCTCCCTCGAGTTAAAAGCCCTGCACACCTTTCTCCGGAGCACCTTGTCCATCCCCTCCCCCTTCCATCCCCCCCCAGAGCACCTTCCCCACCCCCTCACCCGCGCCCCCCCCTTCCACCCCACACAACAGGCCTTCCAGAAGAAGCTCAAACCTGCAGGAGGCGAGGAAAGGGTTAACCTCCACCGATTGACACCCGCAAAGGTTACTTCAGGCCCTGAAGCAAAGAGGCTGCATCCTATCAGCTGTGCAGCACAGCCCACCCAAGGGAATAGCTTCTCTCTCTCTCTCTCTCTCTCTCTCTCTCTCTCTCTCTGCCACCCCTAGAACAGCCCTCATATAGGACACCCCCAGAGGCAGGAGTGCATTCCCAAGTGACCACACACACACACACACACACTTCTCCACTACCAAAATGGAATCTACCCAACCACCCACCCCCCAGGGACTCTTCCCCAGTAGAGAGAAAGAAAAAGCCACTGCAACCCTGCAAACCCTTCGACAAGGGCATAGCAGAATAAACAAGAAAACAGCCTCTGGACTCCATAGCCTTCCTTACCTTTGCGGTCTAGCTTGAACACACAGCCTTCTCGGGCATGCTTTCCGCTGGCTTTTCTTTTTGCGGGGGAGGGAGTGGGGGAGAGAGAGAAAGAAGGAATTCGCTGCCTGGTTTTCTCCTCTTTAGAGGAGGTCGGTTCCAGCGATCGGGCGATGGGGGTATCTCTTCAAGCCAACACCTGTTTTGGGCCAGCGGGGGTGGGGTGGGTGGGCGATCGGAGAAGAGAACGGTTGCCAGCTGGCTCAGAAGGCGAATGGACGGGTCATTCCGGGTGGCCGTCCGAGCCGATTCCAAGCCAAATCAATGCGGAGGTGGGATGCGGGTGGGGGGGGGGAATAATTCTGGGGGGGGGGGGGGGGGGGGAGGGAAGCGGGCGGGGGGTGGGGGCTGGCATCTACAGGCATAATAATAACAACCCCAAGGGCCCAGCCTGCTTCATAATGGGAGATCTCGCGGCTCTCCAGCTGGAAACCGAGCACCTTTCGCTGTTTTTATTCTTCGGAAGCAAAATAATCCGAGCCGGGGAAGCGAAGAAAGGCGGCAGGTAGCCGCCGAAAGGCTCTTCCTAACGCTGCTGGACAGCAGGGGATCAATCCCGCCCGGAACAGCCGCAGCATAATCGGATCGGCCGGTTGCTCCGTTGTTGTTGTTGTTGTTGTTTTTTAAAAAATAAACTAATAATTGCAATTGTCTTGCTTATCCGGAGGGCTATTCTAGGGAGGAAGGCACGGATAACAATAACAACAACAGCCAGCCTTTTGCACTGTTTCTCTTCTCCACCCCACCCCCCACCCCTTCTTCTTTTTGTGCTATTTAGGCCTTTGAAACGTGGTTGGAAGCCTTTTAAAGCTACAGTACACGGATTGGAAGGAGAAAAGGGGGGGGTGTCTGCTTTAAGGGGGAGGGAGAGCCGGCTGGGAAGAGCCAAGCCAGCGGGCGCCACGAAGGGCGCCGTGGGTGGTGAGGGGGAGGAGCCAGCGCTCAGCCCCGCCCCTTGGGAAGTCAGCAGTCCCGCCGATGCCGAGGCGAGTTTGCTTTGCCCGCTGGGCGCTTCCCGGATCGTGGGCACTTGGGTTTTTGCATCCGCCGTCCCTTCTCTGACCGCTCCACCAGCAACCCTTTCCTTGCCGCGCTGGTTGCAACTCGATCCAGTCAAAAAGGCATTCCCGCAAACACGCTTCTGGCTTTGCACCAGATACAGAAGCACAAACGCAACAGCGGGGCCGGAGGGGGGGGGGGGGGGGGTAGGTTTTACACCCAACATTTCAAGCCATTAAAAAAAAAAAAAACCAACACCCAAAGGAATTTTGTCACGGAATCCGAACGAAGCCGCATGGTTTGTGGTAGTAGACGATCGGAGGCAATCGCGTCGTGTGAACGCAAAACCCTGATCTGTCAAAAGTGGTAGGGGGAGTGTTTGCTTTCCCGGAAGAGCGGGGAGAGGGAGTCACAGGCTGGAAGCAAGGTGGACCAAGGCAACCTGTTAGCTCGGAGTAATTCCCACGCGGTGGAAGGCAAGGGGGGGCACAAACACGGCAATCCTGCGGTGCTTTGAAAGGTTTAACACGGGTTCGCGCTGCTGACACGCGCGCCCTTTTAAAAGCTCGACATTGTGAACTGTACGCATCAGAATTTTAACGCATAACCAGGCACAGCTCTTTATATTTACCCCTCGCCCACTGCATTTAATGAAGCAACTTCCAAGTACAAATACTCGACACAGAAGAATCCGTTTCTCCAGATCTTCAAGATGCTAGGGTGCTAAAGGACCCTTAGCAAGGAGTAAGTAACCCACGGCGGACGGCGCAACTTCTAAGCGGACGAATTTCAAACCACACCACGACCTGCTTACTCTCCCTAAAGTGCATTACACTTTCCTTCCGAGTAAACATCCATATTTGATAGTCCCTCGCTTCCCCCGCCGCGTTTGTTTGTTTGCAAAAGATCTCGTCCGCGATTACAGTTTTTCTCCCGACACGTCCTTTTTTTTTTCTTCTTCTTTTCTGGCCGACAGTGCCCGTCCTCTCAAAAAAATAAGCCAAAATTCAGAAACGAGGCAGAAATACAACATTAAAGCGGGGTCCCCGGCAGCTCACCGGCTACCTGAGAACTAGCGCCTTGAGAATAGCCTTAGCCGAAGTTGGCTGCACGACCTAGCGGTCGGACTCGACCTCGCAGCCCTCGCGGGACCCCGTCTCCCACCCGCGGCTCGCGGGGCAAAAAGGGCTCCAGCAGCCACTGATGGAAACACCCCCACACACACACACACTTTTCTCCAGGATGGCCCTGAGACCGGGATCCCCAAAGCCCACTTTGGGGAAGGGGTTTCTTTTTCCCTTGCCTTTAAGCAACCCAAGCCCGCTACTCACCGCATCCAAAAGGGAGGCTCGGAGAAGCGACGTGGGACGCCCGTTCCAAAAGGCGACGGAGACGCAGCGCAAGCTCCGAATCCACGGGCCGGTCCAGCGGGGGAGTGGGAAAGGGGGGGGTCTGGAGCCGCGCTTCTCCGCCAAGCCCCGACTCAGCGCTCCAGGAGAAGCCCGCGCAGGGACGAGCCCACCGGGCGCTCGGCCGCCGCGGAAACCTGAGCGAAGTTGCCGGAGGAAACCCGCCGTCGCCGCCGCTGCTGCTGCTGCTTCTGCTGCCGCCGCCACCGCCGCCTCGTCTCCAGGGCGGTCGCCTCAGGAGGGCAGCCGCGTCGTCCTCCCCGCCGGGAGCCGCCGAGCCATTGGCGAAGAGGAGACATCCTACATCGAGAGGCCGCTTCAGCTACCGCCCCCCCCCCCCCCCTCACTCGAGCTTCCCGGTGCCTTCAAGCGCAAGCCCTCCGGAGCTTTGGCGGGACGAGAGGGCTCCTGAGCACGTGCAGAGCGCGCGAGCCCGCGGAACGGGAAGACCTGACGGAGCGCGCTCGCCTTCAGCCTCGGCGCCGGGGAGCTTTACATCAATCACACACACACCCCGAGGGACGGCTTGGCGAAATGCACCCGCGCTCGGGTTCCTAATCCGTTGATAGTTGTGGGGGAAGAGCCGAGACAAAGCAGCCTCTGGGCGTGTGCAGAGTGCCCCGGGCCGCCACCCTTGCAAGGCTTGAAACTCCCCACAGATGCTGCAGAGCGAAAGCGCCGCCCCCTTTGGAGCGCCAAGCCAGCCCAGCTGCTCGAGGGCTGCGCCGGGTTCTCTTCGCTGGGGCTGCCAAGCCGGGCCGGTCGAGCGGCTCCGTCCTGGCCCTCCCCGCCGCCTCCTCCTCCTCCTCCTCCTCCTCGGGAAGAGAAAGCGCGCGGGGGGGGGGGGGGCGGAGGTGGAGAGTGGAGAGATTATCCTATTTTGCGTCTCGTTGCTCCGGCGAGCCGGCCGCGAGCACCAATTGGCTGGCCGCTTGCAACCGGAAATGTGACCAACAGCAGCCTGGGCTCGGCTGCTGCCCAGAGCGACCTGAGCTCAGCAAAATTTTGGCACCGCCGCTCCGCCTCTGGGTCACACGACGCCCCCCCTCACTCTTCCCTATGCACACGGGGCGGGGGGAGAGACAGAGAGAGGATGGGGGTTAGTTTCACTTGTCTTTCGCTCAGGGTTCAGGTTGGTGGCTTAGTCCAAACAAGGAAGAGACTATCCAAGCGGGGAAACAAGGGGGGAGGCTTTGAAAAAGATCGGGGGGGGGATGATCGAGACCTTCCAACACCACCCCCTCCTCCTTTGCAGGATTATGTTTGGGGTTTTGCCCTGATCCAAGATTTTCAAGTGAACAAAAGACACAGTCCGGAGAGGCAAAAAAAAAAAAAAAAATTGAAGTTGTATTTGTTCCCAGTTTAGGTCAAAGCTGCTTTAATTTAGTTTAGAACACTGCATTAGTTTAGGTAAGAACACACCCTATTGTAGCCTTCGACTATCATTAAGTGTGGTACCTGATGATTCTTGACTCTTGACGAATGTATCTTTTATGTACACTGAGAACATTTGCAGCAAGACAAATTCCTTGTGTGTCCAATCATACTTGGCCAATAAAGAATTCTATTCTATTCTATACGTGGAATAACTGCATCGAGTTTTGGTCACCACATGACAAAAAAAGAGGTTTTGGGAAAAGTACAAAGACAATGATTAAAGCCCTGGAGGCTAAAACATACGAAGAATGGTTGGTGGATTTGGATTTGGCTAGTCTAGAGAAAAGGACCAGGGGTGACGTGATAGCAATATTCCAGTATTGGGGGGGGGGGCTGCCACAAAGAAAAGAGGGTCAAATTATTCTCCAAAGCACCAGAAGGCAGGACAAGAAACAATGGATGGAAACTAATCAAGGAGAGAAGCAACCTGGAATTAAGGAGAAACTTCCCAACAGTGGGGACGCGTTACCAATGAAACAGGCTGCCTTCAGAAGTTGTGGGTGCTTCATCACTGGAGGTTTTTAAGAAGAGACTGGACTGTCTCTTGTCTGAAATGGTATAGGATCTCCTGCTTGAGCAGGGGGCTGGACTAGAAGATCTCCAAGGTCCCTTCCAGTTCTATTCTGATTCTTGCTTAAAAGTCTGTGCTGACCAATTGGCCCCCATCTTCACCCAAATCTTCAATAGATCACTAGAGATGTGCTATGTTCCTTCCTGCTTCAAACGCTCTACTATCCTCCCAGTGCCAAAGAAGCCCTCCATCAGGGAACTGAATGACTACAGACCAGTTGCTGTAACATCTGTAGTTATGAAAATCTTTGAAAGGCTTGTGCTGTCCTACCTGAAAACCATCATGGATCCGCTGTTAGATCCCATGCAGTTTGCATACTATTCTGCAAATAGATCAACAGATGATGCTGTTAATATGGCTCTACACTACATCCCACAACACCTTGAATCTCCAAATACCTACACAAGGGTCCTCTTTGTAGACTTCAGTTCAGCATTCAATACCATCATTCCAGACATTCTTCAAACGAAACTAAACCAGCTAGCGGTACCTGAACACACTTGTAAGTGGATCATAAGCTTCCTAACCGACAGGAAGCAGCAGGTGAAGCTAGGCAGAATCACATCCGATACCTGTACAATCAGCACAGGGGGGCCCCAAGGCTGTGTGCTATCTCCACTTCTCTTCTCCCTATATACCAATGACTGCATCTCAAATGATCCATCTGTTAAAATACTGAAGTTTGCTGTTGACACAACAGTGATTGGTCTCATTCGAGACAACGATGAATCTGCATACAGACAGGAGGTTATACAACTTGCCTCATGGTGTAACCGAAACAATCTGGAACCGAACACACTCAAAACCATAGAAATGGTGGTAGAGTTTAGAAGAAACCCTCCTATACTACCACCTCTTACAATACTAGACAACACAGTATCAACAGTAGAGACCTTCAAATTTCTAGGTTCTACTATTTCACATGACCTAAAATGGACACCTAACATCAAAAACATCATCAAAAAAGCACAACAAATAATGTTCTTTCTGCTCCATCTCAGAAAGCTCAAACTGCCCAAGGAGCTGCTGATCCATTTCTACAGAGGAATTATTGAGTCTGTCATCTGCACCTCTATAACTGTCTGGTTTGGTTCTGCAACCCAACAAGACAGACACAGACTTCAGAGAGTAATTAGGACTGCAGAAAAAACAATTACTACCCACCTGCCTTCAATTGAGGACCTGTATACTGCATGAGTCAAAAAGAGGGCTGTGAAAATATTTACAGACCCCTCACATCCTGGACATAAACTGTTTCAATTCCTTCCCTCAAAATGACGCTATAGAGCACTACGCATCAGAACAACTAGGCACAAGAACAGTTTTTCCCCGAAAGCCATCACTCTGCAAAACAAATAATTCCCTCAACACTGTTCAACTATTTACAAAGTGTACACTACTATTACTGTTAATCTTCTCATCACTCTTTATCACCCATCCCCTCCCACTTGTGAATGTATGACTGTAACTTTGTTGCTTGTATCCTTTATATTGACTGTTTCCTAGTATGATTTGATTGTTGATTGTACCCCATGACTATCATTAAGTGTTGTATGTTATGATTCTTGATTCTTAACAAATGTATCTTTTCTTTTATGTACACAGAGTTATGTATACACCAAGACAAATTCCTTGTGTGTCCAATCACACTTGGCCAATAAAGTATTCTACTCACCTAAGCCAAGGGTGTCCAGCCTTGGTAACTGTAAAGACCTGTGAACTTCAACTCCCAGCATTCCCCAGCCAGCCAGCCAGCCATAAAGTTGCCAAGGTTGGACACCCCTGGCTTAAACTGTGATACGAGTTGGGTTGGGCAGAATGTGTGGAGAACCCCCCTCCCCACACAGGTAAGTGAGCACACCAAATAGTATTAATAGGGGGAAGAACTTGGCTGATCTTAAAAATCTAAGGAGTGCGAAGCCTGATTGGTACTTGAACTGGAGAATACATTTTAAAATCCCCAATTAAAACAGTGTCCCTCCTCCTGTACGTTGCCAAGAAAGCAACGTGAGGAATCCTACTCAAGGTTGATGACCATTGCACTTCTCTAAGCCCTTATAATCCAAAGGCTTAAGGAAATGTGTCTCTGCAGCTACTGATAAGGAACAATTTTTAATTTTGGCAACAGTATGGTCAAAAAAATCACAATGTCAGCTACTTTGATGGTGCAATCAAAGCTCCACCTATTTTCAGTTGCATTATTGTCAGTGCTAGTTTGACTTTTTCTTAATATATTTGGTAGACACCTCAATGTTTGAAAGATCCTGCAGTTTGAACCTTAGACCATGATTGGAGGAAAACATTTCAGTTCTTTGTTAAAAACACCGATTAAGTCAACTATTTCCTCACAGATTTCTGAATACAGGAAAGGCAGCACTGTTAAGGTATGAGAGGGAAATGGGGATATTACAATTGGTAAAAGAGGCAAAAGAGAGAGAGACACAACTGGCAGCAGAATGAATGCAGCCTTCCAGACAATTCTCACCCAAGTTGAGGCAAAAAAAAAGTTGAAACAAAACTGTTAACTTGAAAAAAAAGTCTAATAAATCCCAAGGGAAAACCATGCACAAAAGCATCTTGCTTAATGAACACATTCCATGGGTTGGTCAGTGTTAATTATGGAATCTTTGGTGAAGTCTACCCTATTTTTAACATTGGTTTGCGAAGCGTTGAGCAAGTTCCTGAAATGGACATGAAGCAATC